GGGGGGGGCGGCCAAAATTGTTTTTGCTTTGGGCGGCAAAAATCCTAGAGCTGGCCCTGACTGTACTAACCTCTATATTCCCCAGATGAGAAGTGGGTAAACTCATTTTATACCAGCGTTTATCCCCAACTACACTACTGTGCTACCACACACTAGAAGTTCCATAGTGAGATTTGATCTACTGCTGCTTGAAACAGTATGTAGTAGTAAGGTCCACATGGCCAGTTAGTGTATGGCAGGCAAGAGTGCCATAGATTGACACCCTAGCTTGAGGTGCACTAACTCTCTGTATAGACTAGCCCCTAATTTCACCCTCTCCAGGGGACCTGGACCTTGTTTACAATTCTCATGATGTCCTGTGAACTGACAGTCCTGTGGTTTCATCAGAACTGAGCGCATGCACTTTTCATAAAGTAAACATTGATAGTTTAATAAAAGAAGTTTCACATTCACATTTATATTGCCTTCTCATCATCAAGGGCTGGGCTGAGCCTGGGGCTCTCTCGAAACATTGAGTAACATCCACATGATTGGCAAAATGGAGTTTCTTCTGGGTCTAACCTGATTTCTGCACATAAATGGCCTGCTGCCTACGTAAATGCCATTCCCACACACTTTGATTAGTAGAAGTCTTCGTTTTTTCTCACTGAATCGCCTCTGTATTATACATGAGTTACAAAGGTAAATTTTATCTCATCTGTTTTTTAATTGGCTCTAAAATTGGTTGACCCTACCCATGCTGTAGTTGAAATCATGCTGTAGTTAAAATCATGCAAGCAAAAAACACATGTAAACAGTATATTGCTTACTAAGGTACTAATAGTTTCCCTCACTGGTTTGTACCAGGATTCTTTTTCTGAGAACTGTGTTCTTTAGTCCTATTCAAAACCATGACATAGACTTTGTAGGTGGGTAGGGCCTTTCATCATTCCACTTACACTTGAGTTGCGGGACCTGGTTAGAACCCTGCTCTCCTCTATCCTAGTGCAGCATAGTTATATTTTTAGTGTAGATGAGATTTAACTCTGTCCCTGAACCAAGCTTGGACATCTCCAAGGGCATCATTATATTGATGTGTCCAAGACTTTAGCATGTAACTGCTCCTCCGGACCGACTGTCATTGTAGTATTGGTGGTCTAGTAGTCTGTGGATCTACTGTTATTTGTATAACAGCATGCTAAATGCTTCATAGACATATAAGAAGGTAAAGGCCTTGCCTCAAAGAGCTTATCTAAATAAGCAACATAGAAATGAAAGGCTGGGACATGGGAATAGGATATAAGAAAAAGCAATGAGGTAGTATTGTGCACACTGTTGGCCCACCCACACCCATCACACTGCCTGGAATCATAATTTTAACAGTGCGTTCTGGGAAGGCTGAGTAACTCTTCCATACTGTTTCAGCTGCAGGTGCCAGGGGCAAAGGATTGTTTATTTTGAAGGTGTTATGAATAATACTATGCAAATTGAAGGCTGTGGGAGTAGAGTTGGCAACGGCCTCTGCATGTAATGGGATTATCTCTATTCAGTCTTCTTTTTATATTAATAATTTTACAAATATAGTTTAGAGAATTTTATGATGGTGAAAGGTGCCAGATTGACAGCCCTGTAATGACTGTTTTGATGTCATTACTACAGGTCGACAATTATGCTACAACTCTGCTCATGAATGAGGTCAAAACACAATTTACCTGCTCATTTTAGGAATCATGAATGATATTCTGGCCCTGTTGAAGTCAATGGGAGTTTTGCCATTGACTTTGATGGGGTCAGGATCTCACTCTATGTGTCAACCATCTGATAGTATGGAGTCAACCGTGTTACAACTTTGTTAAAATCTCAGTAAAAGTCTGTAATGTAGGTGGGCTTAATAGCATAAATTTGCTAACATGGTTCTTGGATTGAAAAAAAACTCCATGATCACAATGGTCAGGAAAATTGCTAGAGCTGTACTAACAACATCCATGTCTAAACAAGGTTGCATCTAGCCCAGGAATATTGGCAGAACTCCCGATCCAAGGAGCAGGTCTGTACAGTGGAAATAACTTGGATTTTAAAAATTGAATTCTACTAATTGAGTTTAGCCATGTACATTAATGCAATCTTAGCAAATGTTGTGTTTGCCTATACATTACCAGTATAGACAGCATTAACTCCTCATGATGACATGGTTATAAGTGAAATCCGAGTCTCCATTGCAAATCTAGGGGAAACTACTTATCCAATGACATGTGAAGTGACCATCAATACAGTCAAGGGAGAGGAATTCAAAGTCAGGTATTCAGAATGTCCAAATTATGCCTGTGCTTTTTCTGTTTCTAAGGGGGAAATGAAGAACCAGATATCACTCATGATTCTGAAAATGCTCACAAGGGCCCTGTGGTAGCAGTGGATGCCTGCAAGACCCTCTCGCTCTTTCTAAGCTGTGGGTAGGTGAAGATTGAACATCGTCTCCTTATTTATACAGTAATCAGAAGGGTTTGTGCAGGATGGAAGCTCAAGTACATTCATGTGAAACATATAAAACCTATCATTTGGCTGATAACATGTTTCATACTCTTACAGCTGGTGCAATAGGTTTTCCACACAATAAACTGAAGCTTGGTAACATCATTTTGGTATTGGTACCACTGTAAAATTATGCATTATTAGAACCCTCCCAGGAGAGATGCTGGGAATACCACTTATGGACATAAGGGACCAAATTCATCCCCACTTTCAATCTAGCAAGTATCTAGGAAATATCAGTCTAAGCAGAACAGGAGGATGGGAACAATGTGGTGGTGGGATTTCAGAGATAATCAAAGCAGTCCAGGGAAGCATCTGAATAATTACATATACATTGTCAATGGAAATTCCATTTGCAAGCTAAGCTGTTGTTTAAAGGAAATAAAATATAAAGAAATTGCACAAGTATTGATGGGGTTCAGTTCAGTTCCTATTGGCCAACATAAAACCTGCCTTCACAATTAGCAATTAATTGGAATCTTTGTTGGCAATTTTAGAAGAGACATCAAAGGCTGACAATGAATGCAGAGACTGAACACTCCTCTTTCTCTTAGAGGCAAATTCTTCAGAACAGGAATGAGGTTTACTAGATGGGGCATAGTTGGAGGAGTTTGCCTGGCAGCTGCCTGTGACACAGTAATTGTATGATTATACAGATGCCTTCAGTCTTCTGGAATAAATTTTTCCTTTCAAAAAATCTGTTGGAATTAAACCCATTCTCAGAAATGGAGGAAGGGCTTATTTCCTCAGTAATTTATTACATTGTCTTTGATGTTGTAGGTGCTATATTAGGTAAACTCTTTCACTGTGTGAAAGTCCCTATGATAAAATGCTGCTCCTTCCTGAACTCTAATGTCTTTGCTTTTGTAGTGTTAATTTGGTTATTATTGGTTAAAGAAAGCCACTTGTTTGTGACTGGAATAAAATGACGAGGTAACCCAGATTAATCCCTCTCCTTATGGGTTCTCACTGATCCTACAGGGTAAAATTCTCCCTGGGCAGAAATCCACATGTAATCTGTGCACCACTTATGTCCCATTTAAACCCTATTTTCATGATTTAGTGGGATTAAGTGGTGCATAGAACTCATACTGGCCCTCTGTACAAGGGAAAATTTCACCCACAGAGAATTACTAAAATCAATGTTAAGACTATTTCACAAGATAATTCTGATTCCTTTATTTTCCAGTGCGGACTACATGGTGAAACTCTGGGATATTCACAAGAATTTGCTGGCCGAAATTTGTCTTGATAACACTCTCAGCTCTGCTTGTTTCCTGAATGGTTCTGGAGATATTTTAGTGGCTTTCAAAAATGATCTTTACATCTTGCCTCACAGTAAGGCACTGGGTATCACAGCGACAGATACAGATGTCTCTGGAATCTCAGCAACAGGTATGACATCAGACAGTCTTACATGGATACATTTACTCTCTTGTTAGGAATCAGATTTTTTTTAACTGTTTGCTATGATTTTCAGTGTCTGCAAAATATATTGCACCATATTAGCTGTGAACAGTGCTTTCTCAAAAGGGATAGTCATAAATTGATGGTAATTTGGGTCACAGTTAGATTCAAATCGAACTTTGGTCACTTTACTGGGTGTTGTTTTCCTACATGAGTCCTTATTTCACAATGACATATAATATCTGCAAGTCAGAGTTGAATGCCTGACTTCTTTTAAAAAGAAAATTATAAAGAGCTCATTCTTCTAAAAGGCAAACAATCTTGGGTCATTTAGACCTAGATTTGACTTTTGTAAAACCAATAATTTTACAAATCTTAATATTATTTTAAATGTTTTCTTGATTTTTTTCCACATTTAAAAGAAAACGCCTTTTTTCCCTTTAAACTTTTTCCTGCAAAATTCGCTTTTCAAAATATAACAGCATTGTTCTAGTTGTGCACAGAATCCAGAAATGAATCCAGAAACAGTTCAGTCTATGTTCACTATTTGAGCTGAATGAACTCAAAGAATGAGTGAATGCAAAAGTAAAAAAAAACCCCAAAACACACGTACCATCAATTGTAAAAAATACATCAAATTTGTAATTTTTTTCATTTTTAAGTTACCTAAGTGTAGTAACACAGATAAGGATATTATATTATAGATATAACTTTTTGTCTTGGCAATGTCCCTTTTAAGTATATTTATACAAATACCACTCTTGTGATATTGTGATATCTTCACCAGAGTCCTTCATTTATGAAAACCAAGCTTTAAATTACCAAAAGGAAGGAAAAACTGATGTCTCCAAAGTCACTGACATGGACTCTTATCTGGTATGTTCTAGTTGCTTGAACCCATACTGCTATCAAATAAACAAGGGAAAACAATTCTAAATGAGCCATAGCACTCACAGACACAGCATAAACCAGCTCCACAGAAGAACATCTGATACTATCAGCTAAATCTGCCACCGGGTGCTAGATACACTGAAGAACAATAATTCCTGCCCCAGTTCCAGGATTAAGGCAGATTCTTCTCTGACCTTCTGTAGTAGGAAGTGGGTGGTGGAAAAAATATTATGTAAAACCCAGAGCTGGGATATGGATTTCCTAATAAGAAAACCTGTTCAGTTAGCAGATTGATTGTCCCACTTTATTTTACTAATAAGCATTACCTCAAAAAGTAGAGTTGGTTGCATACTCTGGAAAAGTGAACTATTCCTATTACATGGGAAAGAAAATGTGTGTAAGTTAGACTGGGTGAATGAGTTAGCACTTGACTGTGATCTTTCTCCATTTGATGGAGTTTGTATTTCTGAACAGAACTCCCTTTATATGTACCAGATTTAGTATCACTCAATAACTTGTTCACCTATCTGCATTTATCATTATTTAATGCAGCTGTTATTTACAGTTAACCTGCAAGTACTCCAAACTGACGTGCTCTACCTATTAAATATAGAATACAAAATTTCAATATTAAATGAAATGTTTTCCAAGATTTTTCATTTCTTTTTTCAACTTGCTACAAAACTGATTTTAAAAAAATCCAGTTATGAAATGTTTATCATTTTTTCATTGACATTTGGAATTTTGAGGAAAAATAAAAGTGAAATTTTCATGAAAACTTTAGGGGGGAAAAGTGTTGTTGTTGTTGTTTTTTACCAGATCTAATACAGAGTTATACACTTATAACAGTTTCTTTATTCATCTACTAAGATTTTATTCTGAAAACTGTGGAGGAAAATTCTTATAAGTACATTTTCACAGCACTATATACTGGTGACTAGGACCTTACACATTGTAAATTTAAAAACACTTGTCCAAAAAAACATTCTGGATCATAGTGGTATGGAAGATAACATAGCCACATTTCCTGCAATTGAATCAGGTAGCAAGCATTGAGTTTTTCCTCTACATTCTTAGTTAATATGGCATAGTTGGTGCCTCTTCCTAATACAAATGGCATAGAGTACTCCTGGGGGAATTCTGCACGAAAAAATTAAAACTTCTGCAAAGAATATTTTCAAATTCTGCTAAATTCTGCATATGTTATTTGTCAAAATAACACAATAGAATCACACCAGTTTCAATTTTTTTTGTTCATTTATTTCAAAATACCTGTCAGTAAGTATGTCTGTAAGAATACAGACAACAAAAAAGATTCATGAAATGTTTTTTTGACAAATAGATTCCTTACTAGGCATATTAATATAGAACTCTGAGTAATAATTCATTTAAACTACAATACAGAACCGTATTTTCCGCACCCCTCAGAAGCAGCCGAAAGGCTTGGGGGAGTCAGGGGTTACGGAGGAGAGGAGGGAGAGGGAAGGAAATTGCTGGGAAGGAGCCTGGGTGTGAACTTGGAGGGTTGTAGGGTATGAGTGGGAAGAGAATGGAACAGGGTTTTTGGGGGGACATGGAGGGATTGTTAGGGAACTTCCCCCATACAGATCCTGGCTGACCCCTAGCCTCTGCCATTCAGTCAGGCACATCTGCCCCGTCCCTATGTATTCCTGAACCCCCATATGTCCTTGCACCCCCCATCCACCTGTCCCTTCATCCTCACTTAGACACCCACTCCTCCCATCCCCATGTGGCCCTGTACCCCCTCCACCTGTCCCTATGTGGCTCTTTTCCGCCTCCCCTTATCCCCATGTGTGTCTGTACCCCCACCCACCACCCCTGTCCTTATGTAGCTCTGCACCCCCTCCCCCCTGTGGCCCTGTGCCTCCACTCCCATTCAGCCCCTACCCCAGTCTGTCCTCCCACACAAGCCCTTATGAGCCCCTGTCTGACTGCCCCCGCCCCAGCACCCCACACTGTCTGTTCCCCCATAGCCCCTGTCTCCTGACCTGGCCCACTGCGAAGAAGGCAGCTCTTTCTCTTCCCTCGCTGGCGGGGAGCTGCTGCTTGTTCTAGTGCCACAGTGCCCTCTGGTGGGCAAAAGGCAGAACTGCAGAAATTATTTTTTGCCAGGAGCTGCTGCTGTTCTTGTGCCACAGTGCCCTCTGGTGGGCAAAAGGCAGAAGTGCAGCAATATTTCGACAAGCTTTTTTTCTGTGCAAAAACAAATGTGGAGCTCATTAATTATACGCATGTGCAGTAATGCAGAATTCCCTCAGGAGTAATAGAGAGACAAACATCACTTTCCTGAAGGCATTTAGGTCTATGCCCCACTTGAGCTTCACTTAAACCCATGAGTGGCATATAGGTCTTGTGCCAATATTCTTCTCTGATTAGGGGTAAATTCACCCACTGAGAATAAATTCTTCTTCCAATGAGACTTTGCATATATGGACCATATACAGTGTTTTTATGTGACGTGGCTGATGACTTGATGGCTAGAAACACATGCATACGAGTGGCACCAAAAAGAACGCCTCACCAAGCTGTGTGTATGTGTATAAGGGAAACATTTTCCTCACAGATTTATGATTACTGGGCCTCAACCTTTTCTCATTTCTCTAGGTGCCTTACATGGGATTTAATTTCACCAGTGACTTCACAACAGAATTGCTGGTTTCACCAATGGACGGAGAAAAGGTTAGACTCAGTTGAATAGTTACGTTTCTTTGAAATCTGAGAATGGTGTTGGAAGTAAAGACGTGTTGGGCCATTTTGATCCCCTTAGGAAATGTAAGCATCTCTAAGGGCTTGTACACACTATTATGTTGGTATAACTTATGTTGCTCAGGGGTGTGAATAAGCCATCTCCACGAGTGAGATAAGTTACACCAACCTGAGTGCCACCGCACTATGTGGACAACACTATGTCTCCCACCGACATAGCTACTGCTTCCTATGGAGGTGGTTTTATTATGCTGATGGGAGAGCTCTCTCCTGTCAGCATAGAGCATCTACATCAGATGTGCTCCAGCAGCACCACTGTAGTGCTTCTAGTGTAGACTAGCCCTAAAAGCAGAGCATCTGTCATTCCAAAAGGGACTCGATCAACGTAGGTAGGACCAAGGAGCATGTTCTACTGCGTTGGTTGGGAAATTCATTAGTACAATGTGAACCTGCAAGTATTGTGTTCATTTAACATTTTATTACCTGTACATCAAAGAAACATCGCTATATGTGTATACTCCTCTATCATCCACCAGCTGTCCTGGAAGTTGCCGCTGGCCCCTTCCCGGATATATTGTTCTCCCAGTATCTCAGCGACTTCATTGAAGATATTTGACTTCCTGTTTCAACCTGGACCTCTCAGCATAGATGAGCGAGAGAAGGCGGAACGTAAAGGATTCTTTCTACAATTCTACCTTTTGTTTACTTCTGTTTATTCAATAACTAAAGTAAATCTGGTAGCATCCTAAACCTTGAACCAGATCCTCGGCTGGTATAAATTGATGTAGCTCTGTTGACTTCAGTGGAGCTAAGCTGATTTATACCAGCTGAGGATCTGGCCCTATAGGTCAGATTTTCACAATTCCCTGCACACAAGGGTTCTGCTGTACACCCAAAACTCCAGTTGAAGTCAAAGGGAGCTGC